GACTTGATTGCCATGATCTTTCCCACTTTTAGCTCATTATGTAAATTAATTGTAGGGTTGATTCCTGCATATTTACATTTCTAAACCTAAACTTTACCTGTTATATGTCTTTTTCTTTCCCAGACGACGGGCTCATGCTACGATTGTCACGGTTTGTCTTATTGTAGATGCTTCCTCACACAACATTATTAAATTACAAATTGACTTGATTGCCATGATCTTTCCCACTTTTAGCTCTCATTATGTAAATTAATTGTAGGATTGATTCCTACATATTTACATTTCTAAACCAAAACTTTACCTGTTACATGTCTTTTTCTTTCCCGGACGAGTGTATAATTTTTGCCCATCTTTTTAAACTATATAAAAGTGTTGCGAGATTTGTGAAGTCAAAAAAGACAACAATTAACAGATCAGCCACGAGGGGAAGAGAATTGGGTTAAAAAAATAGAATCTTGTAAAATTTATAGTAAACATAATATTCACTTGACTGGGGTTAAAATGTGTGGTAATAGAAAGGTTTTCCCTATACTCTTAAGTGCTTCCTATATAGCTTTTATGGATCAATACATGAAAAAAAAATGCAATTAATAGCCAAAATTAAAAAGTAAAATACATATTTTCATACATAGGTAAGCTGGTAAATATGCAAAAATTGGAAAAATTAGGTGTTAGATATGTAAATACATATGGATTAGGTGGTATGTATGTAAATCCTCCTACTTCTAGTCAAAGTCGTTAGGGCACAGAACTATAAGTTATTATGAGTAGATTACAAGCACTGAATGCAATAGGAGGAATCCACCTGTGGCTGGAGTAGATGAGGGGGGAGAGGAAACATGTGCTTGTTCTCCCCTCAAGTCTCCATTATTTCCTTCTAGATAATGCTCACCTAAAGCCACTATAAGGGCTCCACGTCAGCACTCAGCTATCTCCAGCCAGCCACGTCAGCAGTCCAGTATTACCTAAATTTTGTTTGCATTGGAACAGCTCTAGAAGGAGACCTCTACCCGCCCATCATTATATACATTCAATCCGATCGGCTTTTTCGATTTATAAATTAACTAAATTAATGTGTTTGTGTGTGCGTCTGTTTACTCTAAAATTTTCAGTTATTGAACCAAGCCTATGAGTCAAAATGACTGAATCGAGCCCACCTGTTAAATTGGACGAATTGAGCCTATCTATTGAAATGGTTGAATCGATCTCACATGTCCATCTGATTGCAATCATTACCCTCAGAAGAACGATCAAGTCTAACTTTGCGAGGGCAGCTATCGAAGATGATCAACATAACTAGTAAAGGCATAAAGACGTCGCTCGACACTTGGAACTTTGATTTTCTTGCTCATACATCAGAAATGGGCATCATACTGGCCACACCTGAACCCCACATTGCGGTTTTTTCAACAAGACACGACGGAAGACGTCGTACAGTATGACATGTGTTATTTTAATTATTTTATTGTCTTTCTCTATTGTGTATAAAAGGGGAAAAAATGTGAGGATGGGATTCCTCTTTCTCTCACTTTCACGCTCTCTCTATAATGCAATATTTTCACCGAATTATATCGGCTCACTAACAATATTGGACCCTAAGTCTCAAAAGTATTCAATATATATAATGCAATATTTTTACTGAATTATATGCGCTCACTAACAATACTGGACCCTAAGTCTCAAAAGTATTCAATATATATAATGCAATATTTTTACTGACTTATATGCAATATTTTTACTGAATTATATGCGCTCAATAACAATACTGGACTCTAAGTCTCAAAAATATTCAATATATATAATGCAAAGTATTCAATATATATAATGCAATATTTTTACTGAATTATATGCGCTCACTAACAATACTGGACCCTAAGTCTCAAAAGTATTCAATATATATAATGCAATATTTTTACCGAATTAAATGCGCTCACTAACAATACTAGACCCTAAATATATATATATATATATATATATATATATTGGAACATGAATTTTTTGCCTAGAGGCCAGAGATAAGGGCCATACTGGCGACACCTGAAACCCACATTGCGGTCTTTTCATCAAGGCAGTGGAAGGGCGTCATATAGTATGACATGTGTTAGTTAATTATTTTATTATCTTTCTTCATTGTGTAATAAAGAGAAAGGAAAACAAGAGAATGAGATTTTTTTTCTCTCTTTTATTCTCTCTCTACAATGCAATATTTTTATCGGATTATATGCACTCACTAACAATACGAGACTCTACGTCTCAAAAAATTCAATATATAGCTGATTCTTTCCATTGACCTATATTAAATTTAATTTTCACTAATTATAATGCCAATATTATGATAAAATG